ATCTTACCTTTTGAAGGAAAATTATTATCTCGAACATTAAAGAATAATATTCAACGTAAAAAAGTTGAAATAGAATTTAAAGAAGAGATAGAAATGCTTTACAATAATTTTGAAAATAGAAAATTTATTCCAAATAATGATTCATTTTCTAATTATCAATTAAGTGGGGATTCAGTGAAGACTATTGTATTAAATTCACTTAAATTGGCTATTGGAAATTCATTTTCACAAATTACTGATTATGAAATTTCATTTTATGCTCTCGGTTTAGACTCTTTATCTGCAACAAAATTAAGAGGTATTCTTCAAAACCAATTTTCAGGTATCAAACTTCCTCATAATATAATTTTTGAGCATAATACAGTTCAAAGTCTTACAAATTATTTGAAAGAGGAATTATCGAAAAATTGCATTTCACAAAATAATAATAAAGATGATTGTAAAGGAAAATTACAAGAACTTAAAACTGAAGTGAATTTATATATTCAAAAAATATTGCAAACCAGATAGTTTTCCTTACTTTAATGGAATTGACGAAGCTGTAAATGAAAAAGATGAAATTATAAATGGTGAAACGGTTCTTATAACAGGTGTTACTGGATCTCTTGGTTCTTTCATTCTTCGAGATTTATTAAAAAATCCAAATGTACATAAAGTTTATTGTTTAGTGAGAGCATCAGATGAAAATCATGGATGCTCTCGATTAGAAGATTCATTCAAACAGCGTCATTTAGATACTTCATTATTATTTAAAGATCATGTTATTATATTACCATGTGATTTAGGAGATTCGAAATTTGGACTAACTGAAAATATTTATTCAAAACTGGTCCATGAAGTAACACAAATTTATCACGTTGCTTGGAGATTAGACTTTAATAATAAAATTGAGGTATTCGAACGGGAATATATTGGTGGAACTGTACATCTTCTTATGCTAGCCCGTGAAGCATATGCGCATCATCAAAATATCCATTTTAATTTTATTTCAAGTATTAGTACACTATTAGATCAAAAACAAATGTTAAAGAGGATGAGTTACCTGGTGATATTTCGAATGCAATGCTTAATGGTTACGGGTTATCAAAATTCATTACTGAACATGTATGCGCGGAATGGTCAAAAAAAGTTGGCTTC